ACTCACATCATTACATTATTCTCTATTTTTGCTTAAGTTTCAATTTTTCCATAATAAAAAAATTTTTAATTCACCTTGTACATTATATTATTCTCTCTACTTTCATGTATATTTGAAATTTTCCAAAAGCTATAAAAAAAAAACCTTATCAGATGCCTTCCTTGACCATCCCCATCAGCCTTCCCATCACCCCCACACACACACATGCCACTCTAACCATTATTCTTCTTAGTACTTATCCATGCCTGACATATAATATGTTTATCTGTTTATTTGCTATCCCCACCAACTAAAATGTCAGCTCTGTGAAAGTGAGAACCCTGTTTTCTTCCACTGCTAGATCCCCAGGAATCATAACAGTGCCTAACACACAGTAAATATTTTCCAAAATAATATTTATTGAGTGAATTCCATTTTACAGATTAGGAAACTGAGGTGCAAGCTGATTTAGCAACCTGCTCTAAGCTACACAGCATGTCAGTGCTGAGCCCAGAATTTAAACGCTGGTCTAGGCCCCTCTGTCCTCCAGGATCTTAGAGCCTACTCCTCATTTTCTCTCTCTCACACACACATACACTCAGGTGATGTTACCTGGTGGCACATGACCCAGGACCAGGAGAATCACAATGAACAGAAGCAGCTGTGTCATGGCCACAGGGCTCCTGGGGAGGCTGCTGGGGAAAACACACGAAGAAAGGAATTGAGTGTGCTGAGCCGTGCAGCCTGCGGCCAGCCTTTACTGAGCTGCGATAAAAAGGAAGAGCTGTGGGCGGCAGACCTAAGTGGGAGTATGCGGCTGCGAGATCCCAAAGCTGCTTGGGATCTCAGCCAACTATGTGGAAACTGCTCGGCCACACCCTCTAAAGGCTGCTGAGCTCTGAAGCTGGGGGAAGAATTTTCTGGGGCAATGCCTAGTGTCAAAAACTGAATATCTTCCCCACCCAAGAGGGTGGGAAGAGCCTTGACTTGAGAGAGACCTAGTTCAATCCCAGCATTTCCCCTAATCTCTGTGAGATCTTGGACAAGGACTTGCCTCTCTGAGCCCCAGGCTGTCATCTATGAAATGATGACAAGCCTTCCTTGCAAGGCTAATAAATGTATGTTTCCCTTCTTAATGCCAAGGAAATGGTACCAGAACCCACTGGCCCATTCATACAAGCATGTATTTAGTCCTACTCTAAAAATGGGAAGAGTTGGGCCGAGCCCGTGGCTCACTCAGGAGAGTGCGGCTCTGGGAGCTTAGCAGCGCTCCCGCCACGGGTTCGGATCCTATATAGGGATGACTGGTGCGCTCACAGCGCTCACTGGCTGAGCGCGGCGCAGCTGGTCTCAAAAAGGACGGAAAATAAAATAAAATAAATAAATAAAAATAAAAATGGGAAGAGTAATAGCACTTACCTCACAGAGAGTAATAGCTACCTATCTCATTTAGAGGATTAAATAAAATAATATAGTGGTTCTCAGACAAGCAAGCAGCAGCAATACCTAGGACTTGCCAAAAATGCAAATTTTCAAGCCCTATCCCAAGCCTACTAAATCAAAAGCTCTTGGGGGAAGAAGGGGTCCAGCAAGCTGTGACTTAACAAGCCCTCCAGGTGATTTAATGAGCCACTGAAGTTTGAGAACCACTGAGATAATATATGTACAGAGCTTAGAACAGTGTCTGGAACACGGGTATCTAAGTCGCATCATGAAAGATGAGTAGGGGAAAGGGTATCCCAGCAGAAGGTACAGAATGTGCCTGAAAGAGTGGGGCATGGGCAGAGTGAGAACTTTGTTGGAAGGAGGGGTTGAAATAACCATGCAAAAGACAGGAGCCAGAGCATGAGAGGCTTCGGATGCCAAGTTCAAGCTTTTGTATTATAGACAATCAAAGGTTTTTTAGCAAGGATACATTACGGTTTTAAATAAAGAAAATGAAACCCAAAGAGAGGAGTTGATTTGCTTATGGTCACACAGTAATTGAGCTGCAGAGCTGGGATGGAAGGAAGCCAAGTCACCTCACTCCCCAGACCATGAAGGGTGCTGCCCCACTCACAGCCGGTCTTGCAGGTGGGAAAGGAAAGCTCAGAGGGCCAAGCAACGGAAGGAAGCCATGCCTGAGGGCGTTCAGCATCTGCCCCAAGACCTGCGGGGGCTCAGCAAGTCAACCTGGCTGCTGTGGAAGTTGCTCCAAGCTGGATACCTGGACCCCTCAGCCATGACAGTGAGCCCCACCCCCAGGTACAGCCTGGTCTCCAAAACCCCACACACATACCCGCCCCAATCCCTCAAGACCTACTCAAAAAGCCTGGATCCTGGCAACATGAATGGCCAGCATTCACCAGGATCCTAGCCAACTTCTCTTCTATGCCAAGATCAGTGTCTCTTTCTTCATCCTACATGCCTGGGAAGATCTGAAGAAATTAAAAAAAAAAAAAAAAAAAAAAAAAAAAAAAAAAAAAAAAAAAAGCCAGGGACCATGATAGAAAGGGACAGTAGGCTGAAAGGGGTCAAGGCCTGAGTCCCAGGCCCAGCTAATCTTCAAGTGGTAAACGAACGAATGAGTGTGAATGAATGATGTCAAATTAAGATACTCCTAACTCTTCAATGCAAACTTCCTGGGCTCTCTCTTCCCGCAAGCCCCCTCCCAAAATTAATTCTCCATCCAGAGCATGATTCCTGGGGATCTAGTTTCCCAAAATTAATTCTCCATCCACAAACTACATATCTGCATCAGGACCACTTGTGGCACTTGTTTGAAATGCAAATTCCCAAACCTCTCCTCCAGTACTACTGAGGCAGAACTTAGAAATGTGAACTTTCAACAAGCTCCCCAAGTGGTTTTTGTGAGCGCTAAAGTTTGTGCGCCCCATTGATGGAGTGAACAGATGCGGACGCAGAGGGGGATCCAGACCCAGGAATCCAGAGCCCCCCACCCTTCCTTTCTCATCCCCCACCCCAATCCCGTCACGCCCACTCTAGGTGAAGGACTGGAGGCGGTGGGTCAGCTGAGCTGTGCCCTCTTAGAAAAGTCGCCGAGCGGCCAAGTCCTTGGGGCGGGAACCCCGGGGCTGCCCTAACGGGGCGGGGCTGGACGGGGCGGGGCCGCGGCTCCTCCCCAAGCCCGAGCGGCCGGGCGGGACCCGCCTGAGGGGCTGCGTGCCGAGGCGGGAGGTTCAGCCTGGAGCACCCGGCAGCCGAGGCGGCGGGGGACCCTGGACTCCTCGCCACGCCGAGGTAAAGCTCCGCGCAACCCGCAGCCAACTTGCTCAAGTTGGAGCGGAGTTCGCCAGGCGCCTGCATGCGGGTTCTGCAGCGCAGGCCGGGGCGGGGGGCCTCGAAACCGCGTCCCAGGGCGAGGGTCTTCAGACTTGGCGTCAGGAGGGCTGGGTAGCCTCGAACAAGGAACCCCTCCGGGATCGGAGGACTCACACCCAGGGTCCCGGGCTGGGAAAGCTCAGACTAAGACTCCAAGAATGGCACAGAGTTCCCGGCGCTGTGGGCTCCCCTCCCCGTCCCCCGTCAGGACTCTGTCCTGTCACCAAACCTGGGGCTGGCGGGCTCGCAGCTCCCGACCCCCGACAGCAACTGGAGGCCGTAGCGCCAGCCGCTCCTGAATTTTTCACGCAGGGGGCGGGCCGGACGCGCCGTTCCCATGGCACCAGGGCACTCGGGTTACAGCCGGAGGGAACCCCCAGAGTCCCCTCGCCCTTCTGGGGTACCAGCCCACCCCTTCCTGCCTCTTCCACAGACCCCGTGAGATCATCGGGCAGCGGAAGTAAAAGCCCCTGGGGGCCTTCAACCCGCTGTGCACCCCCCAAACCCAGAACCGTGGGGAAGGGGAGGATGGGGACTATTCAGATGGCTTCCATAACGAGAGTCTCAAGTTCTGAATGGGAGGGGCAGGTCCGTGGGAATGTGTGTGCATGCGTGGACATCCCACCTCGCATCTGCCCCTCTGTCTGTCTGTGCCACTGGGGGTGGGTCATTGTCTAGGCATGGGAAATGGCTTCTGGGTGTGCATGCCCGTGTATGTTCACAGCCTGCGCACTCAACCCTTCCAGCTAGACTCAGGTTTACCTTGGGCCTGAAGCCAGAAAGCCCCCACCCCAAGGAGCTGAGGGGCCTCCTCCTCCCATGTGAACAAGAAGGGACTTTGGAGGAAGCCATCTCAGCAGCTCATCAGGATCCTACAGAAGAAGGGGCTCAAAGCAACTGGCACACCGACCATTCCCCCTTTTTTTGGAAGTAAGGAAGACAGGCACAAAGCCCCCCCTTACCAAGTATGACACTAAACACCCAGCAGGAAACAAAGACATCCCTGCATCGGCGAGCTAGCACTCCGCTGCCCCTGTCCTCTCGGGGCCACAAGCCTGGCCTCCTGTGCACAGCACCCTCCACTCAATCCCAGCATCCCCGGCTAGGCCAATCAGCCTCCCTCAACCCTCCTGCCCGGAAACCTTCACCTGCCCATGATTGGTCCTCTGAATCCAGCGACTCTGAAGGCTCCTGGGAGGCCCTCTACCGTGTGGTGCTGGCTAGGCCAATCAGCCTCCCTCAACCCTCCTGCCCGGAAACCTTCACCTGCCCACGATTGGTCCTCTGAATCCAGCGACTCTGAAGGCTCCTGGGAGGCCCTCTACCGTGTGGTGCTGCTTGGAGATCCTGGCGTAGGGAAGACCAGCCTGGCCAGCCTCTTTGCAGGGAAGCAAGAGCGGGACCTTCATGAACAGCTGGGAGGTAAGGACCCTATGGTCTGGGCTGGGATGTGACCAAAGGAGTGAAAGCCCTGTCACCAGGGACGCAGGGCTTCCAAGAACAGTTGTACAAGTCATGCACTGTTCAACTCTAAGGGACATCGTTCACACAGACTATGAAGTGAACGATACCGCACTAGAGTTGTGCGAGGCATAGCCCACACAGTGATCTAGGGGAGGGAAATTCCTTGACTAGAATGAAAATTTTGCCGGTTTCCCATGGATGAGAGGTATATGATTCATTTCCATGTCATAAGGGGAGTAATTCTGAATTCCACGAGTGTCAAGAAATGTTGGACTTCCACCCAGCTCAGAACCTCCAAGTCCCAACTCCCCCTGATTCTGGGATCCTCCTAGTCCCATAGACATCCATCCATGGCCACCATGACCTATAGTAAAACTAAGATCCTTCCCAGAATGGAGACTCTCAGACCCCAAGTTCTGGGCCTTGGGTTGCTTTATTCCCAAGAAATGCAGTGAGCTGAGGGTCAGGAGCCCCAAAATGATGGGGTACAGGGACAGGACAGAAGAAATTAAGATGGGCCTTGCGGGACTGGCTGAGAGGACATAAGGTGAATGGGGAGGAGGGTTGGTTAAAAGCAGAGAGAAGGCAGGAACACTCTGGCCAGGCTCATTCTCCAGCCTTGACCCACCACCCAAGAGTGAGAACCCATATGTGTTACAGATGGGGAGACTGAGGCCCAGAGAGGCTAACATGACCTGCCTGAAGCATTCACTAAGCCAGACAGACAGGACTGGGAGAATTCCCAGCCCAACTTTAACCACACCATCCCACACTCAATTCAATCAACCAAACCAAATTTCTAGCACCTACTATGTGCCAGGTACTATGCTGGCAGCTGGAAAGACATGGGCTCCTCATGGAGCTTCTTGACCTTCCAGGAGAGACAGACATCAATTAAGTGTGGTGAACATTTCCAAGGAGAAGTGGAGGGGGTGATGTGACCCGAAAGGGGGGCTAGGGAACCCCAC